TCTTGTGTCTTCACTATAAGAAATTTTTATTGTTGTAACAAATTTATTTATCACTAAAATACTAAAATTGTCACTATATATTTATTTCGATGAATTTTATTTGTTACCATATTTATTAGAACAATCTTGTCATGTAAAGTATATTATGAAGAAATTGTGTTTGTTATCAATATATTATTTATTGTAACAATGAAATTTTGTTACTATAATTAACTTATCATGACAAAATATTTGCCACAATCAATTAATTATTTCATTATGAGAAGTTTGTTTTATCATAATTAACTTGTATTTTAACATCAACTATAGAGGGTTTTTGTAACAAAAATACATATTGCAACAAAAAATAATTTCTCACTTTCGTCAGTTATAGAGATAAAATATTTATTTTATCAAAAAAAATAAATTTTGTCTCAATTAACTTAAATTATAACATAAAATAAAAAGATTTTCATGGCAAAAAGACATATTACAACAAAATTTAATTTATCACTAATTTTATTTTATGACAAAATAAATTTTACATAATTTTTTATTTTGACTAAAATTAATATGTTAGTGAGACTACATAATTTTTTACAATTTATTATTGTGAAAGATTATTATTTGTCATAATTGTATATTGAGAAATTAATATTTGTTATAAATAGTTATTATGACTAAGTAATTTATCAAAAATATTTATTTTGAGAAAATATTGTGAGTAAATAAGTTAGACATAATTTCTTATTTGGACTAAATTTAATATTTTTTGTGACTAAACAAATTTATTATAATTTATTATTATGAAAAATACTATATGTCATATTTTTTTATTGAGAAATTAATATTTATTATTATGACTAAAACTAACTAATTTGAAATATTTTTTATTTTTATTAAATTTATCACAATTTGTTAATTTTGTAAAATTAACTTGTTTCATAATTTAAATTAATTTTTCATATTTATTTATGTTACAAAACAACTGTTGTTCAAATTTATTGTGATAACTAACAATATATTTTAAAATATTATAATAATAAAACTATATTAAATATTATTAAAATAAACATAAAAATTTTAGAATAAAATTTGCCTAAAACATAAAATTATTTTCTGCAAATTAAAATAAATTGAAATCCATCACGACAATCCATAAATATTAAATCCTTCCCCACCTATATTAAAATAAAAAAAAATTATATAATATTAAATTTTTAATAAATATTTTAAAAATAGCATATAGAATATATCTAATTATTAAAAATTAAATTATAATATTTTCTTGAACTTTGATTTTGCAAAATACAAATACTTTGATTGCTAGAAATAACATTCTATGAATTTGTTAATATTATAATAAATAAGAGTACAAAAATAAATAAATAAATAATACTAATAAATTAATAAATAAACCATATTATATTATTCTTGAATTTTTTTATTATAAAAGGAGTCGATTAAAGCATTTTGTTAGTATAGGAAATAAAGACATAACTAAGTTATAAGGAAAATGCAACCAATACACTCCAAAAAAAAATACCAAAGGATGAAAAAAATAAAAGCAGTTCACACTATATTAATTGTCTATTCTCAAAAACACGACAACAACTTCCTAAGAAAATTAAAATAAAAAACAATCTTAGATCTAAAAAAAACATTCACAAAGATATCCCTAAGAACCTATAAATAATTAAATAAATAAATAAATAAAAGTCTCAAACCAGGTACATAATTTTTGCCTCTTTGTAAATAAAACTATTATTATTTTTGTTCATTTCACGATATACATTCATAAAAAAAGAAGAAAAGTATGTTTTCATTCTATTTTCTATAACATGACTAAAAATTTTAAAATTAACAACTAAAACTAAAAAGAAATTATCAGCTCCCTTACCTTAATTGATTATTGACTCATCTTTTGTGTTGGATTTTGATTGTTTTTGTCGATTAGGATCAACCATAATCAATGAACATTCACTCTCTTGTTTTTATATATGATTGTCTAGAAAGAACACAAATATAAACTATAAATTATAGATCATATTAGATTATAGATCAAATATCAGAAAATAAAAAATAAAATAACTTACTGCCCCTTCACGTTGAAGAAGAAAGAAAAAAATAGAGTAATGGCCTAGAACGGTTAAACAAAAATATAATTAAAGTTTGAAAAATATTAATTATAAGATAAGTATAAATAAAATTTTCTCTAAAAATTAATTTCTACTAAGAGAAAAAAGATGAGATTTCCATCTCAATTTTTTTTAAACTATATTATTTAATAATATTATTAAGAGCAACTTCATTTGAAATTTCTGAAAAGATATTTTAATATATATATTAAAATCTCTTTTCATAAATTTATAAATCAAAATTATATAATCTAAAAAAATAAAAATAAAAACAATTAAATTTATAAACCCTTTTATATATTATATTTAATACACATATTTAATGCTACAATTTTTTATCATCTATATAGTACTTGATTTTTTATCATTCATATTAAAATAAAATATATTAATCTATATTAAATAAAATACATAATCGATAATCCACATAGAAATTGTATTTACAACATAATTCAAATACATTATATGAAATTAGTTCTGACAAACTTGATCCAAATTGAATATTATATATATAATTAAACATAATCAATAATTAATTATTTTTATTATTCAAGGAAAGATAGTATATTGATAATTGATTAAAAATCTAGTTCAAATTTTAATTTATAACTAAAATTTTTATTTTTCAACAAATAAATTACATCGTAATTTTTTTAGACCAACACAATATAAAAAATGCCACAAACTCTAACACGTCTTATAGGTAATATATATCGAATTTGAATGCATTTTAGCCTATATGATAAGACTAACAACTAAAAAAGAAAGATTAATTAATTATTTACTCATCTTTATACATGGTTTAAAAAATTCAAACTTAAATTTTATGTTGGATATATTCATGTAGGTATCGATTTTAGACATCTAAAACAATAAGTTACTTATATTTTAATGTAAAATAATATATATAAATTAATTGTTACTTACGAATACAAATCTTCTATCTCCATTTTATACCCCTATACGTATCCACCAATCATATTAAAACATGTGTAATATAATTAATCAATAACTTAACAAAGTCTGTCATCATTATTTTTTATTTTTCATTTAATTTTTTCTTTTTTGTCATATAAAATATATTTTTATTAAATTTTATCAATTGTATTAAATTTATTTTATTTGATTTATCTATTATTCTTTAAATTATATTATTTATCTATAATTAAATTTGATTCTTTATAAAATTTTGAACAATTTATTATAATTAAGTTGAATTTTTTATTTTGATTTTAAATTTTAACATTTTGGATTTTATTTTTAAAAAATAATTTTTTTATATGACGTGATAAAATTTTATTTTTATAAACATTTTTTAAATAATTAATTTTCAAAAAAAAATAATTAATGATTTTTCATATATTGTGTTAAGTTTATTTTGATTGTTTTAAATAGAAATATTTTCCATCAAAATTAAAATAATTATAAAATAAATAAAAATAAATTTTTATTTATAATAATAATTAAAAATTATAGTTACAAAAGTTGTTGATATATACTTTTTTATGTACAAAATGGAGGGAAACATTTGTGAAAATATATTTTTCACTATAATTAAAATATATAACTACAAACCAAAATTTTCAACAAAAATATGAATTTCAGTATTTAATGTGATAACTTTTTTGTAACAAAAATTTATAAGTTATAGTTACAAAACGTATCCCATTATATAACTTTTGTTTTTTTGCCAAAAATTGGATGTGATTATACATTTTGTCACTATAATTAAAATATAAAACTAAAAACAAAACTACTTTAATTTTATTATTTGTTGTGAAAATTTTTCTGTCATAATTATTAAAACTTATAGTCACAAAACTTATTATTATATGTTTTTATTTTTGACCAAAAAATGAAGAAAACATTTGTGACAAAAAAAAGGTAATAAAATATATTTTGTCACCATATGCTACACAATTTTACTAACTATTAGAAAATATTACAAAGATATTAGTTTTTTATCACAATTGTATATATTTTCCTAATTTAATGTGACATTTATTTATTTTGTCACAAGAAAATATTAGTAGTGATAAAAATAATTTTGTTAAAATTAAATTTATCACAATAATAGAAATTTCTTGTAATTCTTTTTTGTTCAACTTAGGTCTACAGTATATATTGAGTATTTGGTGTGGCTTGAGTGCCGTGTTTTGTTGTCTTGTCGTGAAAACCTTCGAGTTGTTGTATTTTCACTTAGTTAGTTGTACTCTTTTCATCCATCTAGATTTAAAGAGGTTTTAAGACTCTTATTTTATTACTGTACTTTAAATTCGTTTAATTTTCTCACTAAATTTTATACATTTAGCATTTTTAGCCACTAAACTTAATACATTTAGTTTTTTATCACTTAAACGTTACTTTCCGTTAACAGAGTGCTCACGTGGCTTTTTTAAATTATAAAATTTTCCACATAAATCAATTAATAAATAAATAAATAGGATGTATATATATTTGGGATTTGTGAGAGTCAAAATTCGTAACTCTATAACTAGAGCTTTTTGCTATGTGCAGTCTCTTGATAATCTCATTGATTCCAATCAAATTTTCAAGGTTTTTGATCATGGGTATTCTTCGATTTTGCATAAGTCACTGAAAAACACATGGGGTCCTTTTCTGCTCTTCTAATTTCCAGCTTTTGGGGGCTGCAAAATCAGCATTCATTGCATCTACATCAAAATGGGGGATTTTGGAAAGAGAATTTGGTTCACAGGTTGATATGGAACCTTGTACATCTGATGGACTAACAGTAGATGGGATTGCTAGCCGTGATGGACGATTCTTGAGGAGAGTGAAAGTGATTGGAAGGAGTATATTAGATTAAGACAAAGTGAAAGGAAAATGAGTTCGACGATGGGAAAAAGGGAGGGCACGAGCCACGAGGAGGATTATTTGCAGTAAAATGATCAAAACAGGTAGCCATAAGCGATTACTGTTTGGGAAAAAGAAGGAACTTTGTGAGCGGAAAGAGCCCGATGTGTTTTTGCACTCGAATGAGTTCTATTCAGGGGTCGTCGTTTTTTATGGAGAAGAGGATTTTGGGGATTGTAACGGAAGCATGAAGATCTCTTCTTGGAGTAGCCGTTTTACGGTGGCGGTTATGAGCTGAGGAGTGGGATTTACGGCGGCGATCGCTGAATGAATGGAAGCCTGAAAAGCGGCGAAATGAGCTCTTATTCTACAATGGAAGACCGTGGAAGCAACATTATGTAAATTGTTTTTTTTTTTCCTCTCATTTACCCTTTTTGTTTTAACTTTTTCTCATTTTCTGAGTTGAAAAATGATCATTAAAAAAGTAAAAAAAAAAATCACGTCATAATGCCGTTAGTGGGAGAAGCGGACGAGTGATCAAAAACGCTAAATATATAAAATTTAGAGAGGAAATTGAACGGATTTAAAGTACAATGAGTGAAATAATAAATATAACAAAATACACTGATGATTCTTGTAATTTACCCTTTATTGTATTTTTGGACTTTTGTTGATTTTATCATCATTATGTCTTTGTAAATTGTGAAAATCTTCTTCTCATAACAAACATGCAGGAGATTATAGTTGGATGTGGCGTTTGAATCTAGAGTAATCAAAGTGTACAATTTGTTTATGCATTTGTACATGTTGATAGATTGTACACAATTGATAAAGCCAAATCTGCATTATAATATCGGATCACTTCAACCATAGCGAAGATTATTATACGCTAAAAAAAGGTGGAAAAGAGAGAAATTATTTTACTGTTTATATTTTTTATGAGTTATAAATTTTAATTAAATGTAAGGTATTTATATATTTAAATTTAATGACGGTAAATTAATGTAAAATTATTAATAATTTTACATAATATAAGTGGATCATATCCCTATAATATATATATATATATATATATATATATATATTCCAGAGCAGATAGATCATCTTAAGGATCTATTTGTTTCATTGAAAATAATTTTCAAATCTTATAAATATACAAAAAAATATTTTTCGTCATTTGATTAATTTCTATGGAAACAATTTTTAGAATATATTTTCAGTGAAATAAACATGCATGTTTCATGAATTTTCTTGATTTTGTATTTTTTTTAGTTTTATTAAATTAATTTTATTATTAACCTTACAAGGGATAACAAATAAACAATTGATGTTAATATTATGGTCTATAATACTTATCACTTATTATTAAGGCCAACGCTTAGAAAGCTCCTGGTACATAAACTAGTATATTTATAATTGAATTTCAAGAAAACAATAAATATTATTTAATATATATTCTATTATAATGGTGAAGGTTAAAAAAAAACTTATGTGACATAAAATACTTCACATGTTCAATAATATCTAAAGATTAACATAACAACAAAAATCAATACGCTTTTATAACAGAAATATAAAGAAATTTATATCTAACCTTTGAAATAAATCACCTTTGTAAAATTTCCTCTAGTAGTTTCCTGTATCCTAACTAGTTATCTTCTTGTGTCATACGATACATGCACACATCATCTATTTTGATACATAAATATACATCTAATCCTTTTCATGTATATTAAAATATATAGATACTATACAGGTGCATATATTGCGCTTCCGTCTTTTATGCATAACATGAGTGCTGCTATGTTTCTTTTACATGTTGCACATGCATTTAGAATATGTTTTGAAGTTTATTAACTTCACATTTTTCTTTTATCTTTCTATTCAAATTTATCAAAATAATTCTTTTATCTTTGAGGTGTTGAACTTGTAAGTATCTTTGTTACTAGAAAAATACTTGCAACTTGGTATATGATTGGGTCTTGTATTCTTTTAATCTGCCTCTATCCAACAGGTTTTCAGAAATGTTCCCGGTAACTGCTGTCAATTTTATAAAAACTATAATTCTTTTTAAAAACCTGGATATTAATGTGGATAAAAAACCTAGAATATTTTACTATTTTCTATTAACATTTTGAGTTAATTTCAATTTTGGCAAGTTCAAGACGGAGGGAAACAAGTAGCACCACTGAAATGGGTGAGAATGTTGAAACAAGTTTACTTTTATATCATAGAACTAAAGTATTTTAAATTTTAAACTTTTACTTAATGAAATATTAGCACTAAAAGAATAAAAATTAACAGACTTAGAAACTTTCAACGATAAACTCAAAGTCATTATTGAAATTAGCGATGGAAGTAAGATAACAGAGATATAAATGTGAGCTTTCTTTATTTCATGGATCCTTTGCATCATGTTTTCGATGGTCCTAACCTATTAAAAATTTTGACGTCAATATTTATTTCATATCATTTGTATTAAGAACATCAATTAATTAAAATGTTACCATATTTACACCAAAAATGCTGCATTCATAGTCCTTTACTTAAAAATTATTTTATGAATATTGTTCACCACCTCATCCATGGTTCCTATGAAATTAAATGAATACACATCATATTTATTTATTAACTAAAAAATTTCGAATCATTGTCTTCTTCTTTATCCTATCATATTCGTCCCCAATCTTCAAACATCAAACCTGCATATTTTTGTTCTAATCTCTCTTTTGATTCATCATTCTTATCATGATTTAAAATATAGTGACGGTGAACATGATTCATGAAATAAGGATTTAACTAATCCTTTCTATTAAAATATAGAGATTCTATTAAATATCTATTCATCATTTTGAATTTTTTCTGATTGATACTAGAAATAATAATCCGATTGGAGCAGACTCATAGTATGTTTAATAGGGAACAGCCTCTACAGATTCTGTATGAGAAACATCATTTCTCATAAAAATACCACTTGATGGTTGCCCACAACTGAGGTGACACCCTAGTGCCTACGGGATGGAGTAACCATAAAAAAATTACAGTAAAGATCATCACAAAGTATTCTTTTATGGAGAGAAAAAATTTAGAAACCTTTTGATGTATCCTTGTACTTTGCCATTTGAATCACTATCACTTTGTTGTCATTTTCAAAGCAAGTGAAATAGCATTGGATGCCAACCCCAAAATAGGATTACTGAAATTTTTGAAGTTTTTATTAATTTTTGAGGGGAAGAAGAAGACCAATTTTTTTCTTGTTCTCAATTAATATTGTTATACTCGTATTTTATTTTTTAAAGATTTTTTATTAAGAAAAACTAAAAAAAATATAATAAAAATAATAAATTTTGAAAAAAAATTAAATTTGTATTGATTTTAAATATCGATAAGAATGATGAATCAAATAAAATTAGAACAAAAATATGTAGATTTAATGTTTGTAGATTGGGGAAAAAGATGATAGAATAAAGAAGTTGAAACGCCCTAGAATTTCATTAAGGACTAAATTGAGAAAAATAAAATTATTTCGAGGACAAGTTAATCAATTTCTATGCGTTGTGGGATTAAATTTGAAGTATGAGATGAAGAATTTATTTTGGAGGAGATTAGTGACTAAATTGAAATAAAGGAATTACACATCTCTAAGGTGAAAACAAGAAAAGAGTTGGACTGTTTAGTGAATTAGTATCCCAAAAGTTATAAGATATTTTGCTTGGGTGGATATAAACTATTAGATTAAATGGGTTTTTTCATATTCAATTTAGATCCTTGGATCTAAATGAAATTGTGGTTGTTATTTATTAAAAAATAAGTTTGGTTGTAAATAAAGAGTTGGAGAAAAGATGAAAATAATTATTCATCTTCTTCTCCTTCAAGCAAACAGGTGATAGAAAGACAAGGTAAGGTCTCCCTATTTTCTTCATTTCCTCCATTTTTAGTTAGATTTGAGGATAGCTTGTGAGACACTAAAATGTTTATCTCTTCATTTCCTTTATGGGTATAAGAAGGAAGGTGAAGGTGGCTGTTGGAGGCATGAAAGAGCTCCATCCTGGGATTCTAGCAACAAGGTAAGGTGTTCTAATCCTTAGTTGTGTTATGACCTTATTAAGCATGATGATTTGATGGGGTTTGAGTAATTAAGCATGTTGGGGGGTTCTTTCTTGATTCATGACTTATAAGGTTTTCTTGGTTGTCAAGATAGTGTTTATATGGTGCCATGTGACCCTAAGAGACTTTGAATACGAATTGAGCCCTGATAGTTTTCTATGAGCAGTTTATTCCTAATAAGTTATTAATTGGATGTTAATAAATTACCTTATTGTTGAGAGTAATTAATTGATGTCATGTTCGATTTCTAGAGCACACATGTTCATGGAAAATGGAAAAAGGCTCAGACTAAGTTAGTAAGCTCGAATTTAGGAAATTAAGGTGAGTACCCCTCGAACTCCGAATTGTTTCATGATTTTCATAATCTCAATGCCTTGCTTGTACGTGGACACTCGGTCTAAGATTCGGGTGGTAATTCTTAAGAGCCTTTTTTTATGATAAATTGATTGGTGGAACTATTTGGAACATGCTTAGTTTTCCTTTTTTGATAATTTCACTGGTGGAATTAAGTGTTGGAAACTAGATTTTAGGTTGCAAGCCAGATGTTAGGTTTCAACAACCTAGATTTTAGGTTGAAACCCAGATTTAAGGTTATAACTGGATTTTTAACTTGTAACTTGTTTTTAGGTTGTAAATCGGATTTCTAAGTTGGAAACCTGATTTTTGGTTGAAACCCTGTTTTTAAGTCAGAAATATATGTTATGACTTTTGCTATATAATCTTGGGCATTTCTTAATTAGGTACATTTCTGGAATAACATGAGACAAAAGAGTAAGAATACTCATTTAAGAATAAAAGTGATTGGAAAACCCTATGCGTTGAAAGATTAAAATACACTTACGTGTGAAAGGGATTAATTGGCGAAAGTCCTGAGATACCTTAAAGGTGAGATAATTAAAGTATTAATGATACGATCAACGAACAAAAGGTTTTAAGTCGTAAATTACATGGAATAGTCTTATAAATGGGTAAAGTACTCGTTGGAGATGAAAATGACCAAATGTCCTTGTGTACCTAAATGATCAGAACATAATGGTTTAATGAGCTGGTAAATGTCTGATGAACTTTACAAATGATTAAAAGGTATATTTCTGTTATGCATAAATGATTGTCATGTTTCATGACTTAATGCACGATGTTAGGGAGTCTTGAGGTAAGTTGTCATGTTTATTCCTATTAATGGTTGATTATACTAATGTAAGTGCATTGCATCCATCTTTATATTATTTGTCGAAACGATTTTTTTTAAAATCTCAGAACAAGCGGGATTTTGAAAACCGCGTCATTTTTAATTATTTTCTTTTTGATTGATTTTTTAATTAAAAACAATACGATTTTAGGAAACCTCTCGTTTCGAAAATTTGGGATTTTTATCACGAGTAAAGAAATGGTTCGAAGAGTCGTCACCGATCTTTGATTAGGGTGTAATCGGACACCCAAAAATGTTTTGCCATTTTAAATAAAAAATTAATTTTAATTAAAATAACAAGTTTAGGTCTGCGTTACCAAAATTTGAGTTCGGGAGTCGGTTACGCGTGGGGAAGGATTAGCACCCCCACAGCGCCCTAAATCGGTACCTCGTCGATTAATTAACGTCTTTGCAATGAAAATTTACAAATTCGAGTTTAATTTGATTTATAATCCCAAACAAAACAACATGCGAATTTTATCATACTCGAAAGCACCAATATTGATTAAGTTAAAATTACCCAACCATTAGAAAGATAAAGAATAATCGATTATTTAAAAATATCGAGACCAGATCTTAAATAGTTATAACAACCTTTTCTCGATAAACTTAAATAACCGAACATTTCTTTTTCTTCCGTTCCAAATTTTAAAAGTGATCAATCAATTTTTATGTGTTACTAATGGGATATACTTTTAATTTAAAATAGTCAAAAGCGGATATCTAATCAGTTAAGACAACCCACTTAAGACAATTTTAAATTAAAAGGATATTACCCTTAATCAAATTATGTAATAATGTTGGGTTATGCTCATGAGGATATCATACGAAGACTAACTAAAATATGTCATGCATTCAAACAAATTTCTAAGTCTATAAAAATATTCACATGCATTTATGGTTATCTATTTTACAAAGGAAATCTTAAATTCTTAATATTCTAAGATTATTAAACCTATCATACTCCTATTAATATGTTACAAGGGCTTTCATGCTAAATAAATTATGACTAGAATAATGTTTATTTTCATTAAAATGTTGTCTATGCTAAAGTGCATTTATACGATATATGTATACATACATTAACACGCACATTCATTAAAATAAAATAAAAACCTACTGTGAATAACCCAATCTTGAATTTAATATTACCATAAAGGATGAAAATAGCTAAACATCAAATTATTAACCAAAATACAAATTGATTAGTACATTACTCAAGTCTGCCATAGGACTAAATTGTCAAACATCAAAACTCACAAGCTAAATGCAAAAATAAACGAAAAATGAAAAATAACATAAGCTGGTGACCAAAACAGAATGCGCGTAAACTAGTAGAACCGAATTAAGAAAACGAAAAAGACTGACTCAAGGACTAAAATATAATTAATTAAAAGATACTGGACTTCACACATGATTACCCCCTAACGACCTAAAACACGGATGATGATATAACTCTCAAAACGTCACCGTCTCGACCCATTCCAAACGACGTCGCATCACTCCCGGACTCAAAACGTTGCCGTTTTGGCTCAGTTCTAAACGACGCCGTTTTGGTTATTGGATGTATATGATACTTAGGGTAAATTTTTTTTGGTTCATTATCTTCTTCATCCTTAAATCGACCCTCGCCGTTCTCTCATCCTTTCTTCCTCAACCCTTAACGAGACCCAAACCACACCGTGGCTGCCATGGCCACCCCTCCTAGAGCTCCAGTGATGAGCCACACCGGTATGATCTCAACCCCAAAAACAACCTTGAACCCAAAACTTCTAATATCTCGACAAAATCAAGACCCATACACCACCACTCTTCTTCTTCCCTCAAGGCTTCGCCGAGAAAACCCAAGACCCGATCATCTCCCCTCGCTCAGGACCTAGACCCACAAGCCAAACCTAAACCTCATCGAGGACCCTCCTAAATCCCTAAAATCAACATAGATCTAAGGTCAAAAGAGGTTACCTTGAACGACTGGTGGTGGCTTTGGCCCTAAGCGATGTGAGTGAGTGAGTTTCTTCAGACGAATAAAGGTACGGGGTTTGTTTTCTATTTTTCAGCTGTTTCACTCTCTGGTTATGAATGTTTTTCTTTGTTTCGTGGATCTCTCGTTTGCTGTGGTTGATCTTTTTTCTCTTGCTTTCTGTTTTTTTTTTTGTGTTGATGAATGATCTTCTGGGTGTTTTTGTTTTTTTTTTGAATTTTGTTCTCTGTTTTTTTTCCCTGAGATTTGTGTTTCTCTTTTTTTTTTCTTTCTCCCTGGCTGATGACCCCTAGACTCCCGTTTTCTTCCCCTATTTCTAGTTGATCTCCTCCTCTCTAGTTTTGTTTTCGTCTGTTTCTGCTCTCGTTTGGTGTGTTTGCAGGGTCACATGGAGGGAGCAGGTCAGGGGCGGCAGCAGTGGGTAGCTGAGCCCATTGCTCGGTTGGTCGTGCGCGATCTGGAAACGCGGTGGTGGCTTCACGTGAGTCTGCAGTTGGCTCGGGAATCACAGAGGGCTGGGAACCGTTGGATCGTGGAGCCAGATCCAACGGCCTTCCTGCTGCGGCGCTAGAGGCTGGTGACAAGGAAACCCTAATGGGTTAGGGTTTCTTCAGTTGGGCTGAATAACTAGGTTGTTGGGAACTGGGCTCGTTTGGTCCAGCCTGTTGTAATCTTAGTTTAATTAGAATCTGTAAAAGACCAAAATAAAACATTAATCAGTATTTAGTTACTTATTTATTTATATATAAATACTATAATATTTTAAGTACCCAATGTATATACTCGTATGCATCACTAATATAGAACACGTAACCACTATGAAATCCAACATATCATTAATGATAACCCTAACTAACGTATCCTACGAACTTAGTAATAACCAGAAATTAATCATAAGGATACATAAGACGTCCCGGACAAAATGACATCTACAGCTGCCCTCTTTGTTCAATATCGTGCAACGAGAGTAGAGCAAAGATCAAAGATGGTCAAATTTGTCCGGTCATAATAACTTTGACACATTAATCCGCTCCACTTTTCCTTCAGAGTAGAGTGAGACTTGGAAAATCTTCTGCCCACGGGTTCGCTCCCTCTTTCTTTAGAGAGTATAGAACTCGGACAATCTTCAATAATCGTGTCTGCTCCCTATTTCTTCAGAGAGTATAAGACCCACAATCTTCATCAATCGCGTCTGCCCCCTATTTCTTCAGAGAGTATAAGACTCGAGCAATCTTCAACATCGTGTCTGCCCCCTATTCTTCAAGAGTATAAGACTCGAACAATCTTCAACAATCGCGTCTGTCCCCTATTTCTTCAGAGAGTATAAGACTCGAACAATCTTCAACGATCGCGTCTGCCCCCCTATTTCTCAGAGAGTATAGACCCACAATCTTCATAAATCGCGTATGCCCCCTATTTCTTCAGAGAGTATAGACTCGAGCAATCTTCACAATCGTGTCTGCCCCCTATTTCTTCAGAGAGTATAAGACTCGAACAATCTTCAACGATCGCGTCTGCCCCCTATTTCTTCAGAGAGATAAGACCCACAATCTTCATAAATCGCGTATGCCCCATATTTCTTCAGAGAGTATAAGACTCGAACAATCTCCATCAAACGTGGGGAACCTGTAGATGTTTTAATCATCATGCAATGCTATGCTCCTATTCATGCCTACGATGTATGCAATTATGCAATTTAATCACTTTCTTCTTCAAAGGAACACTATCTCTCGATAGATCTTGGTTTTGTCTTGGGCACTGAACATTTGACCAGTTCACCCCGTTAACAATCCCAATACCATATCTCTGGTTTGACAGGACTTGACTTCTTTCTTTCTTCAAACCCGCCAGTACCCATGACCAACTTCTTGATGATAACAGCCTCTTTGGGTCATCAATTAATGACTGGAACTTTCTATGAATCCCAAGGTTTCTGCTTCCCATAACCATACAAACATACATGCTAAAACCAATTTTAGCTTCAAAATACCTGTATTTCCAAAACTTTTTGCATAATAATACAAATGATCTCATGTACCACGAGTTAAGCTATGCGTTTTAACTCTTTCAAAATTAGATGCTTGTAAAAGGGAAATTGAAAAGGGAAATGTCTCTTTATTATATAAATGCAGAGAATTTTAGGCAACTACATGGCAAACTTTTAATTGGAAAAAAAGAACAAAAGGATAGGTGTCTTCAAATATCAATAACACAAATGCTTTTGAACTGGCACGCCGTCAGAATGACTCGAGTGTAGCTTCTGTCAAAAGGACCTCCAAAATGGTGATGACACCTAAGAGTGCGAAACCCTTTCTGGACCCCAAAATCTCCCATTATTGGATGCCTAAACCAATATTGAATCTCACGTGCATTCAATTCCTCCTCTGGTTGTCCCCATCGAGACTCATTGATCTTGGTCTCAACCCCAATGGCCCATTGTCGTTACCCATTCAGGAGCTCTTCCTACTCCCCAAAAACAATTCAGATCCTTCACCATACACGAACTCTGAATTTAAAACTCAAATCGCCCTTTGTGGGTTTTCGACTCGACCTCCTTTGTTTTCAAGACGCCTCTTTTCGAGTTTTCATCTTGAACCCTCATCTTTTGTTTCTCTCTTTTTTTTCACTCATTTTTTCTTCTTCTTTTTTTTTTCTTCAAGCAAAATACTTCTTAACTGCGTCAGAATTCACTGGATAAGGTAATTCAGACCCATCTATCTTAGTTAAGACTAGAGCTCCCCAGAGAAGGCTTTCTTGACAACATAGGTCCTTCCCACTTGGGCATCCATTTCCTCGGAAATCTTTTTGAATGGGCAATATCCGCATGAGCACCAAATCTCCTTCGTGGATTTCTCGAGGGCGAACTTTCTTATCATGTGCTCGTATCATCCGCTTCTGGTATATCTGACCGTGACAAATAGCCTTCAATCTCTTTTCTTCAATTAGATTCAATTGGTCATATCTGGCCTGTACCCATTCTGCCTCATTTAGCTTCACCTCTGATAAAACCCGGAGCGAGGGAATTTCCACTTCAATAGGAAGGACAGCTTCCATCCATAACTAGAGAAAACGGAGTTGCCCAGTTGACGTCCGTACAGAAGTCCGATAGGCAAACAGAGCAAATGGCAACTTCTCATGCCAATCTTTATAAGTTTCAGTCATCTTCTCTATAAGCCTCTTAATGTTCTTATTAGCCGCCTCCACTGCCCCATTCATCTTTGGGCGATAAACCGTGGAATTATGATGCTTTATTTTGAATTGCTCACATACGGATTTCATCATCTTGTTGTTTAAGTTCAATGCATTATCAGAGATAATTCTCTCTGGTAAGCCATATCTGCAGATGATTCCTTCAAGAACCTACATACCGTTGACTGGGTAACACTTGCATAGGAAGCTGCTTCTACCCTTGGTGAAGTAATCTATTGCTACCAGAATGAAGCGATGACCATTTGACGCTTTTGGAAAAATTTGCCCAATAACATCCATGCCCCACATAGAAAACGGCCACGGAGCTGTCATCACATGCAACGGATGAGGAGGGGTGTGCATTCTATCCCCATAAATCTGACACTTGTGACACTTTCGGGCATAATTGATGCAATCAGTTTCCATAGTTGACCAATAATACCCAAATCTCATAATCTGTCTGGCCATTACATGCCCATTAGCATGGGTGCCACATATTCCTTCATGTACTTCTTCAAGAATCATTTTCGCTTCTTTAGTGTCCACACACCTTAATAAGACCTGATCCATTCTTTTCTTATATAAGTTCTCACCATTAAGCACATACCCTGCTACCATTCTTCTAATGGTCCTTTTGTCATTCTCAGTTGCCTGTTCGGGTAACTTTGATATCTTATACTGGAAGATATCATAGTACCAAGGTCCTTTATCATCTTCTTCTTCAATGTTAAAGCAGTGGGCTGGATACTCATAAGCCTTCATCTCAATAGGCATCATATTTGAATGCTCGTTCATCTTAAAGGCCGCTGCCAAAGTAACCAAGGCGTCCGCCATTTGATTTTCTTCTCTGGGGAGGTAATTGAAAGTCACTTCTTCAAATTCTTCAATAAGTCCCAGAACTAATTTACGATATTCCACAAGTTTGGGATCTTTAGTTTCCCATTCTCCTCTGAGCTGGTAAATTACCAAAGCTGAATCCCCATATACCCTCAGCATTTTTGCTTTGAGTTCAATAGCTGCTCTAAGACCCATACACAAGCCTCATATTCAGCCATATTGTTTGTACAATCAAATTGAGCCGACTGGTAAAAGGATAATGCTCTTCACTTGGTGAGACCAAGATTGCCCCAATCCCATGCCCCAAGGCGTTTGAAGCACCATCAAAGTTCATCTTCCAGTATTTACCTGTGAGAGCAATTGTTTCTTCCTCCGAGATAGCCATTAAATCCTCATCCGGGAAGTCGAAGTTCAACTGTTCATATTCTTCTGAAGCCCTACTCGCAATGAATTCTGCTATGGCGCTCCCTTTAACTGCCTTCTGGCTTACATACTGGATATCAAATTCGGACAACAGGATTTGCCAACGGGCTAACCTTCCAGACAATGTAGGTACCCCCATTAGATACTTTAAAGGGTCCAGCTTAGATATGAGCCAGGTAATATGATACAACATATACTGTCTAAGTCTTCTGGTAGCCCACACTAAAGCGCAACACAAATTTTCAATTGGTGAGTATCTGGCCTCACTCAGTTTGATCATGTTGCCCCAACACACATTCCATTGAATTGTCATAAACGGACAAGTAAAGAATTAAAGGCTTTCCTGGGATGGTGGCGCTAGGGTCGGAGTATTCGAAAGATATCTCTTTACTGCCTCAAAGCCTCTGACAATCCTCACTCCATTCTCCTGAATCATTCTTACGAAGAAGGCGGAAATGGGATCACATTTTTCGGTCAGCTGCGAGATAAACCGAGCGATGTAATTTAATCTCCCCAAAAATCCTCGAACCTCCTTCTGTGTTCTTGAGGCTGGCAAATCTCGAATGGCTTTTACTTTATCGGGATCTATTTCAATTCCCTTTCGGCTCACTATGAATCCCAACAGTTTTCCCGATATCACCCCAAAAGTACACTTATTTGGGTTAAGTTTTAGTTGGCACTTCTTTAATCTTTGAAAGAGCTTCCTCAAATCTTGATATGTTCCTCCTCCGTCTTGGCTTTGACAATCATATCATCGACATAGACTTCAATTTCTTTATGCATCATGTCATGAAACAACGTCACCATGGCCCTCTGGTTGCCCCTACATTCTTTAATCCAAACGGCATGACTTTATAACAACGTCCCCCACATAGTGACAAACGTTGTTTTCTCCATATCTTCAGGGTACATTTTAATTTGATTATAGCCGAAGAAACCATCCATAAATGAGAATAAGGAATTTCCAGCAGTATTGTCCACTAACGTATCTATATGTGGCAAAGGAAAGTTATCCTTTGGACTAACTCTATTAAGATCTCTATAGTCGACACATTCGACTTTCCCATCCTTCTTGGTACTGGGACAATATTTTCTACCCACTCAGGATATTTGGCCACTGTGAGAAACCCAGCATCAAATTGTTTCTTCACTTCTTCTTTAATCTTGAGTAGCATCTCGGGTCTCATTCTTCTCAGTTTCTATTGTACGGGCTTACAATCAGGCTTTATCGGTAGTTTATGGACAACCAATTCTGTATCCAGACCTGGCATATCTTCGTACGACCAAGCAAATACATCCTTGAATTCTTGAAGTAATTCTATCAAGCTCTGCCTTCCTTCAGCGGACAGGGTGGTACCAATCTTAACTTCTTTTCTATCCCCATTCGTACCCAAATTCAAGGTCTCTGTAAGCTCTTCGTGAGGCAGAATCTGCTCATCGTCCTGTTCCACCATCTTTAGCAATTCTGAAGGTAGTTCACATCCCTCGTCATCATCACAACCTTCGATTTCCCCTTGACATATGGGCATCTCGAAATCAATCTCCGGGTCAGAGTCATTAGCATTCGTATTATTGATATCTGAGTTCCTGAAAGGATAACGAAAAAGAAGATATATATATACACATATACATATGGGAGAATCTTTTCCCATATAAACAAATATAAAGGAATAATACATGCATACATTCAAACAAAAATGCATGAGAAAATGTTTTCCGTTTGGGAATTAACAAAACACATCTTTTATTGAAAGCAAGTAAAAACACACAACTTAACCCTTTACATCAAATCACCTATTGTCCCAGGGTATGAACAATAGGGAAGAGTTCTAGTGTATTACTCTGCAAAAGATTTATAAACTACAGGCAATTCCTCCGCAGTCCAGTTGTTCAACACAAAGCCCGGTGGCGCAGGGTAAATGCCCGTAGCTCTCATTTCTTTGAACTCCTCATCGGTTAGGACATTAATGCCCAAGTCCTCCAAGGCATTCTCAACTATCACTTTACTGCTTTCCAAAGTCCCTTGAAACATATATCCTCCTGATACGAAAATGCTGCTCAATGGCGGGAATGTCATGGGCTCCTAGCTTGGATCCTCACCAGTCAATCTTGCCTTTCTCAATTCCTGAATCTTCTTGATGCTTCTCAGTTTTTCTTTCAAAGTCGGCTGATACCCTAAACCAAACCTGTCTCTTTTAGTTACAGGGTAGATTGGGCCCACCAATCCTTGCAACCGACGTCCAAACCCCTTGCCAGTTTTTGCTCCTCTTCCAAGAGTCAGCTTAAGCCCTATTTTGGTGCAGTTTGACAATCTAGGCTTCGGGACCTTCTTTTCTTCTGCCAAAAACGTGGCATTGACATATTCCAACGATCTGAAAGAACATTCAACAGCTTGTTCTTCCACTTCAACGTATGGAGCCGTAGTAGAAACCGAAGCGATAATGTCTTCTTCAGCATGAATGCATATAAGCCTCCCATCAATTGCAAATTTTATCCTTTGGTGCAAAGTTGACGGAACCGCACCGGCCTGATGAATCCAGGGCCTTCCCAATAAACAGTTGTATGTAGGCATGATGTCCATCACAAGAAACTCCACTTCGTATATCGCCGGGCCAATAGTCAGAGGGATATCAATCTTGCCTAGAACTTCTCTCTTCGTTCCATCAAAAGCTCGAACCACACTTTGACAGCTTCTCATCAAGGTACTGTCCACTGGCAGTTTTTTCAGGGTCACCAAGGGCATCACATTTAATGTCGAACCGTTATCTATTAGTACTCTGGATAAAACATGCCCTTTGCACCTAACTGTGATGTGCAGAGCCTTATGATTGCCAATCATCCCAAAAGGGATCTCGTCCTCAGAAAAAGATAAAAAATTATCGGCCTGGATGTTGGCAACCAGTCGGTCCAGCTTTTCTGTGGGTATCTCCTTCGGGACAAAGGTTTGGTTTAAAACTTTTAACAGGGCATTGCGATGAGCCTCTGAACTTAGAAGAAGTGATAGGACAGAAATACGGGCAGGCAGCTTGTGCAGTTGCTCAACAATACTGTATTCACTATGTTTCAAAAATTTTAAAAATTCCACCGCTTCATTTCTCCGTTACTGGCTCATTGACGATGGGTTCATCTTCTTTTATCTGCACGTCAATACTTTTTCCTTTCTCGACAACAATCTTCTTTTCAGGCTCTTTGTGATAACATCTACCACTCCTGGTCATGTGTCCCACTTCATCTACTTCTTCCTGTTGCTTTGCCACCTCTCCTATTTGACAAGTATATCTCCAGGGTACCTGTTTATTGTCTTTGTACGGGAACGGAGAGGGAGGTGTAATAATCACCTTTGGAGCTACCTTCTCAGCCACTCGATTCTTGGGAGTAATGACAAGGGGACAACTAGCACTATAGACCCCTTTGGATGATCCCTCAGAGGCGTAAACTTCCGCTTCTTCTTTCTCAGCCACTTTTTTGAAGAACTCGATTTCCTTACTATCCATCATCTCTTGCACCAGCCCTAAGAAATCAGAACACTGTTGTATACTGTGTCTTGTGCAGTTATGGTAGTGGCACATCTCTTCATTGTTGAACTGTTCACATGGCAGACTAGTCTTTAATAGTCCTACCTTGACCATTTGGCACCACACCCAAGACATGGGTGACATCACCTCACTAACATTTTTTATAGTCATTTTTCCTTTCTCTTCAGCGACTGCATTAATCCCGGCTCCTGCATGGTTTGGCAATGGATTCTGGGCTATGTTTGGCTGTTCACTGTCACCAAAATTGATGATGTTTCTTCTTCTCAGAGAGCTTGGACGACCTTTTTGAACGCGGGACAATTTTCAATGGAATGTCCAGAAACCCCTGCATGGTATTCACACTTAGCACTAGCATCATACCATTTGGGATACGGGGGTTGTATAGTGTCCACATGATAAGGTGAGACTACATGTCGATCATATAATTCGTGGAATAACTCCTTATAAGTCATAGGAATCGGATCAAATTGAGGCCTCTCTCTCCTTGGATCCCTTGCCCCTTGTTTATTGTCAATTTGGGGTGATGCTATCGTTCCCTGAGGTCGGGACACTGTGATATTATGGGAATCATACTGCCTTACGTTGCTGACTTCGTTTTCCTTCTTCCTCATCGGCAGTTTCTTGCTGGACTCTCCTCCCTCAAGCTTCCCGCTTTTAATCGCCATTTCAATCATTTCTCCCGCCGTAACTATATCAGCAAAACTTCGAGAAGGATTACCAATAAAATGTGAGAAAAATGGAGCCATCAAGGTATTAACAAAAAGTAGGTTCGTTTCCTCCTCTACCAACGGTGGATGGACTTGTACTGCTACCTCCATCCACCTCTGAGCATATTGTCTGAAACTTTCATTATGCTTCTTCTCCATTGCTTGCAGCACCATTCTATTAGGCCTGACGTCCTTCACATGCTTATACTGGTCAAGGAATAATTTGGCCAAATCTTTCCAGGACTTAACATCAGCCCTTCTTAGTTGATTATACCACCGCAGTGCTGAACCTACTAAGCTTTCCTGGAAACAGTGGATCAATAGCTGGTCGTCCCCCACGTAACCAGTCATTTTTCTGCAGAACATTGTGATATGGGCAGAAGGGAATTGGGTACCGTCGTATTTCTCGAAGTCAGGAGTTTTGAACTTGGGAGGTAGGACCATATCAGGAACTAAACTTAGTTCTTTAGCGTCGAGACCATACAAGCTGGTGTCTTCTTTCATAGCTTGTACTTCGTTCGCTAGCTGCTTATATTGCTCCTGCAACAACTTGTTTTCACTCTTCTTTGCCTCTTCATCAAGGTCCGGGACCTGGTGATATGGGCTTTCTTCAGGGTGCGAACAAGATCCAGGTTGTGAATTAACAACAATGCCGTCAGGATTTATGTGTACTTTGGTATGGACAGATATTCCTTGGGTATTCGGAGACTGTGCCGGGGTAAACCCTGGAGGGTAAAGTGGTTCTTCACTTGTTTGCTCATGGGCCTTTCCGTGCTCTGGATTTCTCCCTCCCAGCATACTTGCCAACTTAGACAACATATCCTCTTGAGCCTTAAGCATATCTTCTTGCATTTTCCTTATATCATCTTGTAACTGCAGTTGTGTTCTTTCAATTTGAGCAATCTTATCATCCATGGCCTTCCTTGTGTTATAGTGATGCTTGGAATTTCCCAGTATTTCTCTGTCACACAATTCCTTTTGTTAATGTTTGTATCTTATTTAATGAATATGAAGTATATGATTATGAATGAACAAAGTGCGATGTAGGAAAAATGAAGATGCATTGCGAAAAATGATGCATATGCAAAATGCAGGGTGTTGATCCCGGGGCGATTCCTTAGAACAACTCTTTATATTAGAAACGACGTTCAATTACAAAGTTGAAACATATCACAGATAAATCTGCACTGTTTCGCCTATTTGTAGTATATGTGCTAGCAGTTCCAAGATCTTCTGGTTCTCTTCAGCCTCAGGATCCAGCTCTTCGCCTATAGCGGTAGCTTCTTGAGATAGGTCGACCAAATACTGTGCGATTCCCCTAGCATGCCCCAGGTAACAAGCGATAAGGTCTTCTCCTCGCTTGGCTCTCGCTTGCGCTCGCTCCCATCGAAAACGCCACTGAGTATCCCCCTCATAAGGAACTATCGATAGCTCACTTGATTACCTCTGGAACTCCTGAACCATGACTTCGAGCTCACTTACTTGCTTCTTCAAACTTTCGACTTCTCCACGACTCGAGCTACCCTCCTGGTTCCGGTACCATATTGTCTGGAAACCAACAGAGGTGCATATCCAACAGAACCCCATATACCTGGCAAAGGGACCCAATTCCGCTCTCCACACCGATAAAGTATGTCCGAAGTAACATTCCAAGAAGCTCGCCATAGAACATCACCGTCTCTGATATCTTTGAAGATTACCATCCATTTTTCTTCGGTAAAACCTCCAGGCCAATCTTTTGAAAGGAAATCTTTCAAAGGTGAAAACCCGTCTAGAAACACTCGACCTGGCGCCCTCTCGACGTGCTTGAAATGATTGAGGATCCACACTAGCAGTAGGGGTGCACATCCTATAAAGTGTCCTTCTCCCTCTCGTCTGCAAGAACTCAAAGAACGAAATGTCTCTGCTAGGATAGCGGGAACAGGATCCACATGCTTGTCCAATCTTTCGAACAGGTCGACCACTGATACGTCTATGTATCCTAACACCTTTGGGAATATAACAAGCCCATAAATCCCTAAAGCAAGTAGGTCAAGCTTCTTTCTCTGATCAGGATGACGATTGATTATTTCCTTCAGAGCAGACCAAGGAAAGCATTCACTGTCCCCTTTCTTCTTAATATTTTTTACAACCCAATCCTCACTCATTCCAGTTATCGATAGCAATTTCTTCTTGAACGAAGGAGTGACCGGGGGCTTGGTATAAACCCTATCCGCTTGAGCTCTCGGACACCGGAGCAAAGCTTGATACTCTTCTATTGTTGGCGTCACATCCACTCTTCCAAACGTAAAACAGCTGTAACCGGGATTCCAGAACTACGCCAGGGCCCTAAACAGATTTCGATCGATTGGAACATCCAGAAGGTAAGATATGTCGCCATACAACTGATAGAACATCTCTTGATCGGCTGCTTCACATCTCTCCCAAATCTCCTGGAGCTCATTCAAATCATTCTGACGCACATTGACGTGAGTGTAGCTAAACAACTCCGACACGTAACCAGGCTTCAAACTATCTCCGTTAGTCAACTGGGATTGCTCCGACCATCTCAAAACCTCTGCATTGTCTTCAACCTCTTTGTGAACCTTTCGTTCCATATTCTGGCCTTCTAATGGACATCGATCCCCAAATCAACACCATGAAATGGATAATGCAATGCAAAGCAAAAGGAATAAAACAAAGACAAAAGAAAATCAGTTAGTAAACATTAGTCAATTAATCAGGGATAATTTGTTAAAGAATCCTACCCTCACATGCTGGCTACCCAATCATTCTTTATCATTTCCTACCCAATATGATATCTACCCCCATGCTTTACCTGAACATCACAACCCTAGCCGCATGATATCTAATTCAACCTAACCACATGATCTCTAGTTCGCATGCATTTATTCACAGAAAGAAAATAAATGACCCAAAAAGCTTTTCCTTGTGTACACTCCTCACGGGATTCTTAAGGTTCGGGTTAGGCTCGACCTAAGTTCGGGCTCTATATTCACTACATGTCGGGTTAGGTTGTAAAGTAATAGGTTCTCGAATTGTCCTTGTCGGTGCCCCCTTGGGCTGCCGAACCCTCAATCCTGGCCCATCACAGGCTTTAGTGGATCGAGTTCAATTTCGAGGGAACACACCTCCTTATGTCCATGCGGAGGTGAATACCATCACGAGGACCATAAGGCGTGAGCTCCAGAAGTGATCCACTATCCCATGCGGAGGTGAAAACCACACGAGGGAGTAGTCTCTCACTCCTACTTAAATAGGACAGAGCGGGTTTTAGCTCATGTTATGCAAATGCAACTGTGCCGTGTGTGAGGAAAAGCAAAAACAACACAGAATCACAAAACATTCCAAAATCAATCCTCTTTAAACACATAAATAATCTGAAACCAACAACAAACAGATCAGTACAACTATTTATTCATTAGACAAAATATGAACAGAAAGGTACTGAAACCAAACACGGGATCAAAAACCAAATTAAAACGAATTTATAACTTTCATTTGCAAAGACAATTAATTAATCGACTATAGGCCTGACTCTCTAAAAAAGTCCCCAGTGGAGTCGCCAAGCTGTCGAAACGATTTTTTTAAAAAACTCAGAACAAGCGGGATTTTAAAAACCGCGTCATTTTTAATTATTTTCTTTTTGATTGATTTTTTAATTAAAAACAATACGATTTTAGGAAACCTCTCGTTTCGAAAATTTGGGATTTTTATCACGAGTAAAGAAATGGTTCGAAGAGTCGCCACCGATCTTTGATTAGAGTGTAATCGGACACCCAAAAATGTTTTGCCATTTTAAATAAAAAATTAATTTTAATTAAAATAACAAGTTTAGGTCTGCATTACCAAAATTTGAGTTTGGGAGTCAGTTACGCGTGGGGAAGGATTAGCACCCCCACAGCGCCCTAAATCGGTACCTCGTCGATTAATTAACGTCTTTGCAATGAAAATTTACAAATTCGAGTTTAATTTGATTTATAATCCCAAACAAAACAACATGTGAATTTTATCATACTCGAAAGCACCAATATTGATTAAGTTAAAATTACCCAACCATTAGAAAGATAAAGAATATTCAATTATTTAAAAATATCGAGACC